ATACAGCAGCTATCTTAGTTTTATTAAGTTTATCTCATAAAGTGATGTTGGGATATGAAAACTGTCATTGTCATCAGCACTCCACAATACACACCTGTTCCTGAACCATTACACCCGCCAATAAACCAGCACCTACAACTCCTACGGAAGTGGTCTTAAAAAACTAATAACGTTAGAAATATAGGGAGCCCTGCAGTGTATATAAGATATAAGCTACTGAAAAGTGTTTAGCGTCACAAAAACAAGCAAGGTTCGTTGCTACGATACGTGGCGGCATCAGTTCCCACGGCAGAAGCCAGCAGCTGTTTAACTCATTACAAGCTACGTTCTTTCGGGTGTCGTCATCACAGTCAGCCACCTCCTTTCCCTGTACGTCTGTGATGTGCTTGTGTGACGACAGGTCAGGTCCATATGAACAGGATCCTTCTTCCATCCTTTTCTCGGACTGGGATCTGTTCATATACGTTCTTGGCAGATGATCCAGACGTGGTTTGCCATTGCCTTCTTCTGTGTGTGAATGGAGTAATTGTTGGGATGCCACGGAGGAAAACTCCGTGTTGCCTAGACCACGGCCTTGCCCAACACAAGTTATAAATTCGGGCACCGCCGGGAATCGAACCCGAGACCCCCCAGGATTACAAGGCCAGCGTTCTAACACAAAAATTCTAACACCGCCAATGCCAAAACCAGTCACCTGGATAATATTCTTAACCAGTTACATTCACCTTACATCCTCGTAACTTTTCTCCAAAATTTATCTTAATGTTATCCTTCTACCCCCAGTTCGGTCTTTCAACGACCGTTTTTACAACAGTTTTTCCCACCAAAATTCACCAACGCCACCCCTAAACTTTCAGGCGTTCAAATTTAGTGTTGTTTGTTACATTTATTAAATCATCGTTTTAAATTATATATTGCGGCTGTAACAATTTATTATGGAGTCCTTCAATATGCAATTTTCCGAGCTGTCATATCATTTCGCTACTATTAGATGATAAAAAAAACATTATTATTCTTCGCATTATTTCCTTAACATAAGACACGAATTTAAGTACGTAAAATTACAGTCCTTCGCCTGTACACCTGCCTATATCAGACACTATTCTGAACTCCATAGTGGCAGACATTTCCTCAATTTAGGCTGTTTTTTAAATTTTCTCGTGAAACCATTCCTGATTTGTTAGCGTTAACCCCAACTAATACGGAATTTCGTACATTTTCAAAAGAATTTATTAGCTACCTTCATATGATCGTTTTGTCATGTCTGGTGACAAGACATGAACATAACCTATTCTTAGTTACTTCCAGACTAACTTCTTTACCGGCAAGTAATAAAGCCTCTGTTATCCTTTGTGATATTTGTTTTCATCTAATAAATCAACATCAGCATAGACTAGAAGCTGATGTGATGTCTCTGTTTTGTCTTGTGCATTCGAAAGAAAGACACAAAACAATGGTCATAACGTATCTCCTTGTTCCAGACAATTCTGAACAGGAAATGAGCCAGATAAATATTTACCTGTACGGATTTTACTGTGTTCCATTTAAACACGTTTTAATTAGCCTAGCTACTGATGACGCACCACAAAGAATTCGCTTGGGAGTGGAGTGAGGTTAGAAACGGATATATGCGAAGTGCGCATGCTCTGTAAGTTCACCTCTTCCCCCACTCCTACTTCCTGGCAGACTTCTCGTTGCACGCGAACAATAGTTTCTTGTGGCGGCTGATGCAATGTGACATTATATTACCAATTCCCATTTTTTCTACAGAATCTGACGAATAAAGAATAGTTTATATGTTGCATATCGATTATATCGAAATGATTATTTTAATCAGCCTTCTTATAAATAGATATACAGTGACAGATTCATTTCACTGCTATGGAAATTTTTCATTATTTCCAACAATTAAAAGATGACTGTCTTCTGGAATTCAGCGTCGTATAGACAGGTAGAAGTTTCAGAGGTTCCTTCTGCCTACATTATCAGGGCGATGAAGGCAGAAAGAACCTCTGAAACGTCGATAAATTTCTACCAGACTACATGACGCTACTACCCAGAAGACAACCATCTTCGGACTCATCGTCGTGAGGACCTCAAATGCTACAACCTAATTACAGTTAAGGAATTCAGATTAAAAACGTTATAAGTGACAGATGGCTACATAATTTTAAAAAAATATGGAATTAAAGTATTCAGGGAACATAATTTCAGAATTTAAAGATGTTAATTAATTAATAGAGTGAAAATAAATGATAATAAATGTAAACCCTAAGTGAATTTAGAATAAATAACTATATAAAAGTATGCGAATCTCAGATATTGATACGTGGGTTTTGAATAAGAGATACAAAACGTTTAGAAGAAATTTGAAGACCACTAATTTACATTTGGTAATAAATACTAACTGCACTACGGTTATTAAAATATTATATCATCCACAAATATATAGAAATAATAAACGAGAACAGACATTTGAGATAAATAGTAAATTAATACTATTAATATGCCCTGCAGTAATCAAATTTGATAAATATCATTCCAGATACAGTCTTTCGTTACTATAAAATACTTAGGATGGAATTATTTACACAGAAAATTTATATTAATTACAGAGTTCTTAAGAAGAAGGAAAGACAAATTCTTGGATGTGATAAATCCAAATAAATCTGTTTTTTCCTAAAAATCGGGATGTTCTTACACAAAACCACTAAGTCTATAACATCGTATAAGTTGTAGAAAAGTACGATATTCTTCATACAGACTATAATATTAGAATAAATACGTTATTTATGAATTATTTTTCGGGCTAATGGTTGTTCTTGAATAAGGTATTTGGTGTAGGTGATATCATTAGTCTTTCACCCATAATTATCATAATTATTATTTTCGAATTCTGATCACAATATTTATGCATCGGCTCTAAGAACAAATAACATAAATTTCCCATTTTAAAATAAAAAGTCTAGTCCAAAACTTTTGTCAATCCCATGATTTTCCGTTGTGAAAAACGTCCTTCCAGTTTTTCACAACCACCTACTGAGTTCTGAGACCTCCACACCCTCTACCGAAACGTCAGTTTAGTTCTGCGTGGAACAGCGTATATAAAACACCACCTATTTGCGTATCCCCGTTACGATGACAGAAACATGAAACAGTGGCAAGATGGAGGTCGCTCAGCGTTCAAAAACACTCCTTGCGGCGGCAACAGTAACTACAAAAACAAAATACAGTCAAGCAGCGGTAACCATCTGAGTCTGCGGGATGATAAATTTAGATATGACGAAACAGAAATGTATGTGAACAAAAAAATTGACCTGTTATATGAACCATTCTCTCTCTTTCTCTCTCTCTCTCATTCTAGTTAAGTCGGGTGGGAGAAGGCCCTGTTGTGTAAAAGTTTTTTTTAAAACTGTTATGACAGCAGAATGGCGCGTTGACCTATCAAATGAGTTATGTGTTATGTTTTGTCAATTAGCTCTCAGATCTCAAATGTATTCACATGTGCACTTGCCTGCCTCTGAAAATAATATCATGCTTTAGAGGACGCAATGAGTGAAAAGGGCACAAGGACACGGTGTAAAGCTGGCCGTTCCTTACCGAACTTCTCTGCACGAATGAAACACCTCTGATTGGAAGCTAACAAATGTTACAGGTGTTTGAATTCTTATGCTGGAGTCGAACGCTATGGAAATATTTCCATACGTCACAAAACTGAGTGAAAATATTATTAATTAAGCATGATTTACATTAAATTCCTTTGATGTGGGTGGCGAAACACAGCAAAACGTAAATTTTACCTAAGGTTTATGTGAGGAACACGGCATGATTCTTTGTTTACATGAATATAAAATTAATAAATGTACTGAGAATCGAACAAGGAATTATTCTGAGACAGCTGTCACCCATAAAACATAGAGAAAAAATAAAGTAGCTTCTTGGCTTTACAGTGAATTAATACAAAATGTACCATAATTCAGATATTTATCTATGTTATTTAATTTAACTGGTACTTAAAATAACAGAGAAAAATTAGCAAAATAAAGTATATTATTTTGTTCTGCGTAAATAAATTCTGTAGACATTTTGGTTTTCATGCCAGCAGTCATTGCTCTCCATTCACCTTTCATCATTGAAATCATCAGAACCTAGTACAAAATTCATATTTGACGCATCTGTAACCTCTACACAGTGCGACATCTGGAAAACGGGATTGGTGTTATGAGGTAAGACCTGGTGCAACCATCTACCAGAATTTGTTTAAAATTTAAAATATTTAATATACCATATGATGTTCTCTATCGAAACATTCGATTTACACTAGAACGTCATTTTTCATTCTTCAGGTGTATAAAATTAAAATTATATAAACTTAGACATAATTTCTTAAATGCAACTTTTTTTTATATATTATTGTATTTTATTTAGATGTTTATCAGACATCAATGTTGTTCTCTTTTTATTTAGATGTCTGATAAACATCTAAATAAAATACAATAATATATAAAAAAAGTTGCATTTAAGAAATTATGTCTAAGTTTATATAATTTTAATTTTATACACCTGAAGAATGAAAAATGATGTTCTAGTGTAAATCGAATGTTTCGATAGAAAACCTCATATGGTATTTTAAATATTTTAAATTTTAAATTGTGATTAGACGGACTTGATTTAAACAAATATATATTTTATCACAATATGACGTAATTTTATCATCTCATCTACCAGAAGTGAATATGAATCCAAAGAGGGATTCTTCCTAGAGTGCTACACTGAAGATCATCATACATGGCCGCCATTTGAGAACGAAGTGTGAGCTGAAGTAGACGTCTCTCTCGTGTGTGTTATTATAATTAATACGACTATTATTATGCTTATTATAGACCTAGTATTACTTTATGCTATAGTCAGGGCTCAATGGCATGTCGTCAGCTGATGGCGACAACTTATCGTGCCATGGCAAAACCAAAATGTAGGAGAAGGCTGGACGATTTACTCACCACCTGGGCGTTCGGGGAATGGAGTAGCTCATGCTTCTCCAGCTGGTCTTTATGAAGGAAACTAGTGTTACACTGGGGACAGGCGTAACCCCCGCCTGGGGTGTTGGGGGCAGGAGAGCCGACTGGTGACGTGGGTTGCGACGCCCCGTCGTCACCACCTCTGACCTGTGGCGGAGGCGGATGAGAGGACTCGACATGCTCCTTCAGCGCCTGGAATCCGGGGTAACCATTCTGACACTGTGGGCACTTGATGAAGTAATCGGTCCCTAGTCCAGTAGCACCCGTCCTGCCACCATCGTCAGCGCCAGATCCTGGGGAAACGGATTTACCCACGCCGGCAGCGGTAAGCGGCACTGTGGACAAAGATCGTCTGGTCAGTTCAGGCGCACCGACGGCGTAGAAATGCTTATCAGAAACACGCACAAAAGAAAAGAAATCTTTCTTCAATCACCCTGTCGGCCTACAGTGTTCATTATACAAAGATTTCAAAATCCAAAATGTCATCACACAATTTCCTATGTAAATTAACGTAGGAAATCGACCAATCTTAGGGCTTACGGTGTAAAAGTGTTTGGTAAGTCTACGAAGCAGAACTTTCTCTGTCATACCGATCCTCAATATAAGGGCCACGCACATTACAATGACCAGGGTCTCTCATCAGCCCAGTAAGAGTAAGTTCAATGCCATCATCAGGAAAGCAAACTCCTTAAAATACATATATCCTTGTTATGGCGTATTCTTTTACAAAATAATCCGCAAGGACCAGCAACGATAAAAATTTAAGAGCATTAATACGGTAATAGTAACAATAATAAACAGTCGTAAGTCAGTAGAATCTTCTAGAACCCAGCACATTATATTTTAAAAACACGTCTACCACGTTTTCACCTCATTTCCTCCTGCGTTCTAGAGCAGTGGTATTCAACCTTTTTTGTTCGCGTATCCCCAGATATAATTTCTCTTCAACTTTGTACCCCCAAAGTTGTTGGTGTATAATTCAAGTTATACATAGTATATAATCTACATCTAAAATAAATTAAATAAATTACATTACTGATTATTCAATGTTTATCATAAAATAATAT